TCTTTGCTTGATGATAAAAAGTGATGATGAAGCCTCATCACAGGTAAGTAGTACAAAATCCTTAAATAAATATGATGAGTTGTTTAAAGAATATCTAGATATGTATGAAGATTTTACCAAGTTATCTAAGAAATACAATGCACTTAGGCAAAATTTTAATGCATTAGAAAATAATGTTGATATTCTTGAAAAAGAAAATGAGTGCTTAAAGAAAGATGTTGAGAAATTTAAAACTTTGTCTAAAAATAAAGAAGTTGCTAAACCTTGTGAAAATTGTAATCTTTTAGAAAATGAGATTTTCAAGTTAGAGAAAATAATAAGCAAGTTTTCAAAATCTTCTGAAAATATTGATTTTATATTAGGTTATCAAAGAGGGAATACTAGCAAAGTTGGACTTGGTTACAAACCCAAAGAAAGTCTAGAACCTCATAAAACTATTTTTGTGAAAGAGTCAAGAAAAATAGATGTGAAACCAATTTCAAAAAATTTAAGAAACTCATTTAGACCTTTTCAAAGAAAACCAACATATTTTTATTGCATGAAAATAGGTCATACATCAAATAGATGTTACATAAAACATTTTGGCATATCAAATGGAAAATATGAATGGGTGCCTAAAGGAACAAAACATTTATACATGTCTAGATGATAGTTTGAGCATCTAATTGATTATCAGAATTGAATTTTTTTTCTTGTTGTCATAATCAATTATGTTGATTCTGAAGGTGCTGTGATAATCGATTATTATATCATGGTTATATTCTTTTAATCCTTAGTCTTTTGGCAGAGACTTCTGATTCTACTAACCTATTTAAGGACCCAAAAATAATTAAAGGGTACCTAGATTTGTATGTTGATGTTCCAGGTAGTTATCAAGGATAAAAGATTAATGCAGGTTATTGAAGCTAAATGGATGTACAAGAACAAGCTAGATAAACAGGGAAATATTACAAAGATAAGTTTATGATTGTCTCTCAAGTCTCTATATTGAATATCTGTACTTATATGTCACATAAATTTGATTGTTGACCAACTTTAAAATTTGAAAGTTTGAATTTTGAAAACCTAAATTTATGAAAATTTGAAATTATTAAAGTTTGAATTTTAAAAATATGAATTTATGAAATTTTGAAATTATTAAAGCTTGAAATTTGAAAGTTTGAATTTTGAAAATTTTAAATTTGAAATTTGAAAGTTTGAATTTTGAAAATCTGAATTTATGAAAATTTGAAATTATTAAAGTTTGAATTTTGAAAGTTTGAATTTTAAAAATATGAATTTATGAAATTTTGAAATTATTAAAGCATGAAATTTGAAGGTTTGAATTTTGAAAATTTGAAAGTTTGAATTTTGAAAATTTGAATTTATGAAAATTTGAAATTATTAAAGTTTGAAATCTTGTAGTTTGAGATTCTTGAAATTTGAAATTTTGCAGTTTGAGATTTTTTTTTAAATCTTGCAGTTTGAGATTTTTGAAATTTGAAATATTGTAGTATGAGATTTTTGAAATTTGAAATTTGAAATTTTGCAATTTGAGATTTTTGAAATTTGAAATTTTGCAATTTGAGATTTTTGAAATTTGAAATTTTCCAATTTAATATTTTTGAAATTTGAAATTTTGTAGTTTGAGATTTTGAAATTTGAAATTTTTGCAATTTGAGATTTTTGAAATTGAATTTGAATTAGAATTTGAATTAGAATTTGAAATTTGAATTTGAAATTTGGGATTGGAAATTTGAATTTGAAATTTGTTGGAATTTGAAATTTGTTGCAAATTGAATTTGAAATCTAGAATATGAGTGAATTTGAATTTGAAAGCTACCTAGATAAAAAGACTGCAATTGGGGAAACTACTGCATTTCATTCCATTATCTCTACAATTATTTTATTCCCCTATCTATCTCTCTTCATTTGTCTTGAGTATCCTAGATATTGTCTCCTTAATATGATATTCTTCTCTATGATACTTTGTAATGTATTATCTTCTCTACCTTGATTTATGTACTAATATGTGCAAATTTGTTCTCAGTTTCTATTGCAATATTTTTCATAACTATCAATAAAACAGGGAGATATTTTGATGATATTAATCTGTGTGAAAAAGGGAAGATTTTTTTTCTCTAATAATATTTTTCATAATTATCAATGAAACATGGATATATTTTGATGATATTAATATGTGCGAAACAGGGGGAGATTTTTTGATGAATTAAAATTTGTGTGAAATTCTTTCCTATCTCTAAATTAAACAAGGGGAGTTAAGAGATTCTTTGCTCATATGAGTTAGGGGGAGTCTTGTTATTAATATATCCAGGGGGAGATTAAGAGACTCTGACACTTGATACAAATTTGTACTAATATGGAGCTGGTTATATAGAGTCAAACATTTTAATTCATTTCAGGTGTTTCTTTGATCATCATGAAAAAGGGGGAGATTGAAAGCAATGAGGGGGAGATTGATGGAAATGTCCCTACATTCCTAAGAGATGATCTTGATGATGATTCAAGTCAACACCATTCAAGATGAATTAAGGACAAGCTGAATTTAAGACGTTGGTGAAAATGTGAAACATTTCTCTACATGCCCAAGATATGTTTTTGATAAAGATGATGATTCAAGCAAACCAAAGATGATTCCTGAAGACTAGATAGAGTCTTAGAATACTAGATCTAGAGGTACAAGTTGATGAAGTAATATTATGCATAAGCCTCCAAAGCACAAGTGTGATAAAATTCATAACGTGATATTTTTCACTGTCATAATCAATTATGATGCATCAGAAATGGAAAAATGATTTTCTCTGTCATAATTGATTATACTGGTAACATAATCAATTATGGTAATTTAAATTTGAAAAATATATCTGTTTTGAATAATAAATATTTTTGAATATATCCTGATTTTTATTCACAAAAATATTAATGTCCAACGACCATTTTCTCGATGTTATTTTTCTATTTAATTAAGTTTTGATGAAAAATCAAATACACACAATTGCAGAATTCGAAAATACAATTTACATTCAATCAGTTTTGAGAAAAGAATTATGAGCAAGACAACAGAGATATTTTACACTTTCTGAGAAAACCCTCTTTTCTACTGCCTTTTGTGCTTTCATTGTTAATCACACTTGTTTTGGCATTCTACAAACGTCTACAATTTGTTGTCTCCATTACCCAGGTGTGACTGTTTTTATTTTTATTATTACCTTCATCCTTTGTGCGTTGGTGACAAAGGAGGTGTTTTTCATCCCTAGTGTGATTCTAGGGAAGTGTTCATCCTTAATGAGATTCTAAGGAGGTTTTTTCATCCTTTGATTTGTTCAAAGGAGGTTTTCATCCCTAGTATGATTCTAGGGAGGTGTTCATCCTTAGTGGGATTCTAAGGAGGTGTTTTTCATCCTTTGATTTGTTCAGAGGAGGTGTTCATCCCTAGTGGAATTCTAGGGAGATGTTCATCCTTAGTGGGTTTCTAAGGAGGTGATTGTCTTTTTAATTAGTTTACTTTTTAATGGTTCTTCTGCTAAGTTGATTGTAATTTGTAAACTGAATTTGAAAGATAGTGAATTGGGAGTCACTCTTGTGTTAAGAGTTGACTGGGAACTGGATGTAGGGTTGACTATACCCGAACTAGTATAAATCTTTGTGTGCTCTTCTCTTTCCCTTATCTCTTTCTCTTTTCCTGATTATATTATGGATTCCACTTTATCTGTGTTCAAACAAATTATTGATTCACAAATAAATTTTTAATTTGACATCTATTTTAAATTGTGCATCTATTCACCCCCTTCTAGATGTCATTTGTCTAACACACATGGTTTGAAGGTTCAAAATACTCTTTTGAAATATTTTTTGTTTTGCAGGACCTCCTCGCCATCAGTTATGACCTGAGTTTTGAGTTGGTATACGAAACCAGGAAGAAATGTTTGCATTACTTGTAGTACCCGTGACAATTTGTTGAATGATTCTTCCCATTTTTCATACACATGTTCAATTGTTTGTTGCTTGGCCAACCAAGTCTTTCTATACGTTGTTGTGTAGCCCAGTGAGGTCTTGATGGAAGCAATGATTGTTGCAATTGGTGTTGATGGGTCAGATTCGACCATCTCATGAATGTGTTAGGAAATGATACGTGACCCCAACCTGTTATGATCTTGTGTAATGAGTTGTGTGACATAGGTGTGAGACCCTTCGATTTTTCTTATTTCCCATACTTGATCTCTTGTTCGAAGGATGGCTTGACACTTCCACAGACATTGATGATGAACACATTGCACCCTCAGCCTTGTTGTGTTTGACTGTGTCGTTTTGTATGTGCAATGGTTTGTGATATGAAATGTGTTTAAAGCATTAATGACTTGTTCCTTTGTTTGGAACCTCATTCCTTGGGTTAATGTTACTAGGTTCATGCTCAAATGTGTCATGATGAATATTAAAGTGGTCGTATGCATGAGGATATTATTGGTCTACATGTTGGGAAAATTCTTCATAGGACTGGAAGTGTGAGGGCGGGTTGTATTGAAGAGATAAATGAGGTTGTTGTTGTATAGGAGAGATATCTATGTTTTCTTCTTCATCATCTGCTTGCTGGTTAAGGATGTCATCCTCATCCTCACTAAATGGGTCTAATGACGATAAAGGTATGCCTAATGTTTCATTTTCTTGCAGAGGAGGAGAGGAGAATTATTGTGTGTCGACATATGTAGGAGATGAGAGAAGTTGTGAGGTCGATGGATCGGTCAAGAGTTGGGTGTATGATTGTATGTCATTTTCCCATTCCCCTATATATGTGGCGTTAAGGTCAAATGACTGATGTGTGGGTTGGGTTTGTAAGGGTTGTTGATGTTCATGAGAATGATTAAAATAATTAGGCTGGGAAGATGAAATATCTGTGTTGTAAGTTGTGTAAATTTTCAAGGATCTCAAATTTGGGTTGGCCTTTATGATGTCCATGGCTCCATCCAAGTCATCGTCATATTCAATCTTTGTTATTGTATAAGTCACATGTCTGCCACAAATTTGTGTTGGAAATCTGAAATGGAGGACAGGAGGTGGATTGGTTGGATCTCTTTTCCTCGTTGCAATATTATCTCTACTAATTGCGAAAATGTGAAACCTCCATGAAGCTGAACCATGATACAGGTGTCAGACTTAAACAAAACACCATTTTTTGGGTTAGGAATCATGTCACCATTATCATAGATGCATGCAAACATCTTTGGTGTCATTTGAGGAGGAATAAGATTCTGATGAGTGGTAGCAAAGAAAAGTTTTGAATAACTATGGTTTGAAATTTGTGGTAAGGTCCCTCTTTTATAGTCGAAAGTTAGGTGATCATGTGACCCGCACATTAACGAACATGATCATGTGACCCACACTACACCTTATGTCATCATGTGACTTGGATATTTCGTTGTGTGATCATTTGACTTACACATAACTTTATGTCATCATGTTAATACAATTTTTTTTTACACAATGATAAACATAAATAAGATTAATCGACTTAACATAAATGATAATATTGGATGGATTGAAATACTTATTACACATGACAAGAAGAGTGATAACATAAGGTTCATGGATTTTTCAGAAATTAAGGTAAATGATCATCAATCTAAGTTTAGTGACTGATTAAAGTTATTAGCCAAATCATAATAAACTTCGGATTTCGCTTTGGTGGATTTTTGTAATAAATGCCATGATTGAACTTTTGTAGCTTGTTCTGTTGCCATTAAAAATAATGCCTCGACGTCGTCATCTACAAATATCTTACATGATCTATAATCTGCAGTGGTGACATATATGAAAATTGGTAACCTGTATTGTAAGTTGACTTCATATTCGTTTACTGTTGACATATTGAAGTGGTTGAGAATAGTTTGTTTCACTTCGACCATAGTCATTGTGTTTGTTATGGCCACCCAAGCCGTTTGAGAGCTAATGTATGTTTCAGAGTAGTTTTCTTCCATTAAGATGGTGTCATTGAAGTACACCAACACTGTGAAAGTTGTAGATGTCATTGTTGGTTGTAGTACCTTGTCATTGATTTGATCAGTCGAACAACCTATAAGTTACTCTATTTATAGGATAATTGTTCACTTGGACCAACAACAATGATAATTCCACATACGAAATCTAATGGCTAAGAATGAATCTGTGGAGATGAACGCATAAGACACTGCACGAGGTCTGACCACCATGAATGACGCGTGAAGGCTTTAGTCCATGTGACAAAGTCCTACAACTTTAATCTGAGGGTTGAAATTAAATCTGTGGAGATGAATGCACATCATTTAAATCCACATTGCACAAGGTCTGACAGGGTTTTATTAAAGCATCATCGTGTCATTATGGCTGAGCAGTATGCCTTATGTAGTGAATCTGAATCCTGTGCGTTCAATTTTTGTATTTTCAACCACAACTGTTAACTAAAAAAACGTACACTCCCCATTATGACACTATAAATAATGGTATTGTGTCATATCATAACTCCCCAAAGATGATGACTATTATCATGCGTTGACTCAGTTACTCTCTCAATCAATGCTCTCACATGCACCTTGCACAAAAGTCGATGACTATTGTGTCATTTTAAAAATATTATTTTACTACTTTTAACAATAAATCTAAATATATTATTAATCTAAAAAAACATATAAATTTTTTTAAAACTATAATTTAAAACTATAAATTTTAAATAAAAATTATAATATTATATATATATATATATATATATATATATTGTTTTTCTTAATGTATATTTAAAAAACTAATTGATTATTTCAAAAACTAATCGATTAGTTTTTCAATTACTGGATCGATTAGTTTTTCAAACAACTTATTACTTTTTCAAATAATCGATTATAATCGATTAAATTTTCAAATATACATTAAATAATTACAAATAAAAATATATATTAAATTAAAATAAAATAAAATAAATATTTATAAATTATATATATATATATATATTACATCAATTAAAATTACATATATGAACTTTAAATTATATATATATATATATATAATTATAAATATAGTTTTTTTATTTTTTATTTTAAATTGATAATTTTTATTTTAATTTATGCAATATATATATATATATATTGCATAAATTAAAATAAAAATTATCAACTTTAAAAAAAATTATATTTAGAATTAATATATATATATATATATATATATATATATATATATATATATATATCTTCCAAAATATTACAAAGCAAAAAAAAAATAGAGGTGATAGGTCTAGTGACTAGGGTACATATGAGGGTATTGAGTGAGAGAGTGAATGAGTCAATGCATGCTAATAGTCATCAGCTTTTGCAGTAGAAATAATTCATATCTCCCTCATAGGCACACTTATCAAATAAAGTTGATATGTCTTGTCTTAGTGGCATCGTGCATGTGAATGCATTAATTGAGACAGTAAATGAGTCAATACATAATAATAGTCATCAACTTTTGCATTAGGAATAATTCATATCTCCCTTGACACGACTACCCAATAAAGTTGATAGGTATTGTCTTAGTGATTTGGTGCATGTGAGAGCATTGATTGAGAGAGTGAATGAGTCAATGCATAGTATTAGTTTATTGAATGTGTAAGTTATTAATATAATGATTTAATTGAATGTGTAAGTTATTAAGATAATAATTTATTGTATTTGTAAGTTATTAGATACAAATTTTTTGAATTTGTAGGTTTTTTATTCATCATTTGCAAAGTTTATATTACAAACCCAACATAAGGTATCTAAATAAGAACAATTCAAACACTAAAACTAAATTTTTATTATTTAATTCCCATAATGGTGTCCAGTTCCACATCGGGGTCACCTTCTGTTCCTAGTTGGGTTCCTCCTTCCCTGGGGCGGTCTAGGTGCTTCTTCCTCTGAAGGTTGGTCTTCATGATGCTCTACATCTTCATGAGTTTTATATGTGTCGGAGGATGACACCGTTTCATTATGATATTGGATATTATCAGGGGATTGTTGATAAGGTCCTTCAAAACCTTGTGCTGAAGGTGGAGTTGGGGCATACGCTCCAAAAATGCTTGGCATTCCTAAATCAAAGAAGGAAGAAATTGAATGTTTTCTTTCATCCATAGTTCCTTCTGCTTCTGGAGTGTTGTAATTGTGTTGAATGTCATCATCTTGAGGAGGTTGTTGATGGGTGGATAAAATATCATTATATTCATGCATTAATTTAGGTTAATTTCATATGTTGTTGCATTATGGGAACGATTTCATCATGTATTATCGTTGTTTTGGATCATACATGTTGGTTTGTGCATTGTTCTTGTAAATAGGTGTTTGAAAGTTTGAATTCATAGTTTGGAGGGAGTTGGTGTCAAGATAGAAATATTTCATATCAGCAAGTTCCACAGGTACCTTGTGAAATGTTCCACAACCTGTGGATTTGTGGTTCAGAATGCACAGTTGAAGTTAGAGAGTTCCACAGGTGGGTTGTGGATTTTTCCACACCTGTGGAAATTCAAGACGGTTATGACAAGTGGTAACTACCTCAACAAGTGGAGAAAAACGTGGGACACCCTATAAAGAAGGTGGAACGAAACTGAAAAGGGGAGAGGGGGCAACCATTCTCCATTTGTTACGTTCTAGTTATTATCTTTTGGGAATTTTTATATTATGTAGAACTGATTTCCCTGTTGTTAGAGGATTGATGTAGTACTCTGAATTATATTTTCTTGTTCTTGACAATTGATGTTAAGTTAATGTTCTTTATCTCAGTGTTCTATTTATAATTTTCAAGTTCATTCCACGAGCAGTTTCACAATTGGGAGATTGGAGGTTGTTCGCGATCCTAAATATAACAGGTTAGGGTTTGTCACAATTGGGAAATTGGGCATATATCTAATTAGTTTGCAATAGAGAAGATTATTGTTTTTTCATGATTCTATTGAATGGTGTAACTGACCTAAGGGATTGGGGGTTTGGATTCAATGAATAGTTTTGCCTACTAAGGGATTAGGGGTAAAACAACTCTGGGTAAACTCAAGTGGATAATTACATTTCTTGCATCAATTGAAAGGACTGGAATTATATAGGAAAGAGTATGAAATCAATTCTCTAACAGATCTTATTTTGACTAAAGTTCTTATTATAATTCTATGTTTGCTATTTTATCCAAATTTTCAATTGTTCAAACTTACGTACATTAGGAATCTAGTTGATTAGTCATTATTTTCCCGCATTTTCTTATCTTTATATACTTATCTTAATTGGTGCATTGTGTTTAATTGTCTATTATTAGTGCATTTTCATTGATTGGACTTCATTGGGATAATAATTTAGATTTTAATCTATTTGATCTAATTTTTACTCATTATTAATTTTAGGACAGTTTAAAGTAATTTTAGACTTGAAAAGTTGGGCCAAATGTCATATTTTATTTTATACGGGTACTGACATTAGTTTATTGTTTTATTTATCATTTTTTCTACAGATCTCCAAATAACATAATTCTAAAATAATTATAAACTAGACACATTGAGCTTTCCACAGGATCCAAAATCATTCAATTCGGAGCTAAATTGGATTTTACATAAATTATCCAAAACAGGTCAAGCGCACCAGGCCGGCCCAATGGACATGCTTTAGTAATTTAAGTCTCCTAAATTCATTAGAGCTCCGAAAATAGTTGAAATGGTGGCGTTTTAAAGCTAGCTCAAAAGGCTTTCGTTGGAGACCAAAATCGCTTAATTTGGATAAGTATTGAAAATACTGCATGTGTTTGAAGTTCATGGACCTGCACTGAAGCCAATTTATGATGTGTTTCATGGACTAGTTGAGCCCAAAACCTCGATTAAGATTAGGGTTAGGGTTATTTATATAAGAGAGGCACATCACACGAAAAGAAGACAAAATCACACAAGGACTAGGCAGCCACCACACTTCCGTCTTTCATCTTTTGCAATTTACATTCAAGTTTGTTACTCTTCTGTCATTATTTTTAAATTCTTGTTTCAATTTTAATTATGTTTCTTCTATTGCGTTTTCAACTTTCTATGGATAGCTAAATCTTTGTATTGATTTTCTCGAGAAGAATGCAAGTAGATCTTTGAGGTTTTGTTCTTCAATTTCATATTGTTTGTTCTCTTAACTCTTCATCTTCTAATCTCAGTATTGAATTATAATCTGTTTATGCTTAATAAACCGAAACTTATATCACAGCTTGCTTAATTTCGTGTTAGATATGAGATTATGTGATGTATGCAATGCTTAATTGTATAAGGATAATTTGGGGTTAATCTTCGCTTAGTTGGTTAATTTCATGTTAAAATAAGGGTTAAGGAAAATTTGGGATTAATCTTCGCTTAGTTGGTTAATTTCATATTGGAACAAGGGTAAAAGCTAATTTGAGATTAATCTTCGCTTAGTTGATTAATTTTGAATTAGAATATAATTTGGGATTTATCTTCGCTTAGTTGGTGAATTTTGAATTAATTTCGTAATCTAGGATAAGTGACACCGCATTAGAATCGGAAATCAATTGCATTTTAATCTGCTTTTAATCCGCATTTTTATAATCTGCTTTTGTTCTGTTTCATCTAATATTTTAATTTTGAAAAACTCCCCTTTTAATTTTTTGTTACTAAAAATTGATAAGCTTTGATAGAAATTCGTGGTCTTTGGGAGACGACCTAGGAAAGCTTCCTAGTACTACATTTATTCTGTTTTAATTATTTGACCGAAGTACGACATCGATCAAATTTGGCGCCGTTGTCGGGACCAAGATTTTTGTCTAGGTTTTCAATTTTTATTTTCTGCTTTCTGTTTTCATTTTTTTGTTTTTATTTTACTTTATTTAAATATTTTATTTGATTTTCAGTTATTTAAATATTTTATTTGATTTTTAGCTATTTAAATATTTTATTTGATTTTTAGTTATTTGAATATTTTATTTGATTTGTTGTCATTTGAATATTTTATTTGATTTGTCGTTATTTGGATATTTTATTTTTAGTTATTTAAATATTTTATTTGATTGTTAGTTTTTAATATTTTATTTGATTTTCAGTTATTTAAATATTTTATTTGATTCTTAGTTATTTGAATATTTTATTTGATTGCTAGTTTTTAATATTTTATTTTATTTTTAGTTATTTGGATATTTTATTTGATTTTAAGTTATTTAATATTTTGACTTTCTAGTTATTTGGATATTTTATTTGATTTTTAGTTATTTAAATATTTTATTTGATTTTCAGTTTATTTAGATATTTTATTTGATTTTTAGTTTTTTAAATATTTTATTTGATTTTCTATTTAAGTTAAAATTCTTACTTCTCTTAAAACTATTTTGATAGCCCACTGTGTTCTAAAACTCTCTTTGGTTAAAAAAAAAAAAAAAAAAAAAAAAAAATAAAAATAACAAAATAATAAAAAAAAATATTAAAAAATATATAAATAATAATTCAAAAAAAAAAAAACAATTTCATCTCTAATTTGTTTTTTTAGCTTTATATATAAAAAAAAAAATTTATAATTTCCATTCTCATAAGAAACTCCGGATATAACTTGGTAGTGTGAGAGTGCATGTCTAGGAGGGTTCTGCTAGGAAAGATTTGGTATTTAAGCGTGTCCATTAGTGACCCACCTCTCTTTCCCGGGAACCTACCCGGTGTACTTGTTCACTGCCTACCGTTGTCATTCCAAGAAACAACCGATTTTTTTAGAAATTTTTTTTAACTCTTGGGAAATACATGAATTGTTGAATATAGTGCATGACTAGGAGCAATCCCGACCTTTTACAACCTTTTGATCCCGAGATAGATAGAACCTTTCATAGATTAGTTAGACATTCTAGGAATTCATCTCTTGAGTCTGAACCATTAGATAGTCATAGTGAGAGTACTCGCACCTAATATACCTTCTTTCGATAATTTCCAAACTAATAACATGGGTGATCAACCTATTGGACCTCGTGAGAGGACTCTCAGTGGAGATGGTCGCACCTCGATTTCACTTATGCAAATTTATGTATCCAATACCCCGAAGAGGATGTACCATTTGTGCTTAAAACTGGACTAATCCATTTGTTGCCCAAGTTTCATGGTCGTGCAGGTGAGGATCCACACAAGCATCTCAAGGAGTTCCATATAGTCTCGCTCCACCATGAAGCCACAAAATGTTCCCCGAAGATCACATATACCTAAAGGCTTTTCCTTTCTCTTTGGAGGATCTTGCCAAAGACTCGGTTGTACTACTTAGCTCCTGGTTCCATAACGAGCTGGGATGATCTCGAAGAGAGTCTTTCTAGATAAATTTTTCCCCGCTTCCAGGACCACCGCCATCGTGAAGGATATATCGTGTATCGTGCAACAGATGGGAGAGAGCTTATACGAGTATTGGGAGAGGTTCAAGAGACTTTGTGCAAGTTGCCCTCACCACCAAATATCACAACAGCCTACTACCGCAAGTACTTTTATGAGGGGATGAACACAATGGATAGGAGTATGATAGATGCAGCTAGTGGAGGAGCTTTAGGAGACATGTCACTCGCCGTCGCTAGAGATTTAATTGAGAAGATGGCATCCAATTCCCAAGCAATTTAACATGAGGAGTGATGCCATAGTCCTTAGGGGTGTACATGATGTGGGTTCATCGGATTTAGTGGAGAAGAAGCTAGAAAGTAAGTTTGATGCACTCACCACCCTAGTCTCCCAACTTGCCGCAAATCGAGACCCGCACCACCCGCAAGGGTTTGTGGCATTTGTACTTCAATTGAGCATCCCACCGATTGCCGCCAATTATTGCATGAGTCTACAGTGTTCTGAGCTCCACAAGCTTATGCAAGCAAACATTTTCAATAATAGGGCTCCGAACCAACAACATAATTCTCGACCTCTCAAGCAATAGATACAATCCAGGGTGGAGGAATCACCCAAATCCGAGATGGTCCAATCGACGAACACCAACAAGCAGCAGAATCCTTTGCCACCACCACCATTTCGAATCTCGCCGGTCCAAGCGCACCTTATGTGCCTCCACCAATGCAACAACAATATCGAGGCAGCAAAATGAAGCACCAGCTCCTCAACCTTCTTCACCTTCATTAGAGGAATTGGTCAAACAAATGGCCG